AGCTTGATAGTAAGTGGAGCAGCCGAAACTAGAATCGGTTCCCATATGGAATGCTGGCACCACAGGTGGCGGCTTTACCCACTATGCCACAGTGCCGGCCTCAAGATATGTTTTTAAAAGCCCAGTCTTTTTTCTTTTTTTTTTTTTTTTTTTTGACAGGCAGAGTGGACAGTGAGAGAGAGAGAGACAGAGAGAAAGGTCTTCCTTTGCCGTTGGTTCACCCTCCAATGGCTGCCGCGCTGCGGCCGGCGCACCGCGCTGATCCGATGGCAGGAGCCAGGAGCCAGGTGCTTTTCCTGGTCTCCCATGGGGTGCAGGGCCCAAGCACTTGGGCCATCCTCCACTGCACTCCCTGGCCACAGCAGAGAGCTGGCCTGGAAGAGGGGCAACCGGGACAGAATCCGGCGCCCCAACCGGGACTAGAACCCGGTGTGCCGGCGCCGCTAGGCGGAGGATTAGCCTAGTGAGCCGCGGTGCCGGCCAAAAGCCCAGTCTTAAAGCTGATTGGAGGATGAAAGAGACTGATTAATAGGCTGTCACTTGTTCTGGAGCAGATGTCACTGTAGGCCAGGTGACAGCAGTGAAAATGAGGCACCTTTAGAGTAGAAAGGACCTTCTGATACATTCATATGAGTGTGAATAAGGCAGGGTTTGGGTAGTTCAAGGTGTACTAAGTGGTGCACCTGGGCAGGCAGATGGGCCCACTACTCAGGGAAAACTGGTACAGGGACAGTTTATTTGGTGGTGGTGGTGGTGGTGGCTGGGGAGGGGTAATCAAGAATGTAGTCAAGTGCACAGAAACACGAATGTCCCATGCCACCTCAGCGGCTGGATCTGTAGGGTAGGGCTCAGGACAAGTCCCACGTCCCATGCCCCACATTGGAGATACACATGTGGAAGCTGTCGGTGGCTTTTGTTATGGTCACCCTGAAAATGTTGGTCCTCTACCCCAGCTGAGATTTGGAAAGCACTGCTTTGATGGCCCGGCCCACAGCTGACCCACCAGGGCAGCATGGGGCAGGCAGCCTACTCCGGGCAGTTTCTGCGGCTGATTCTCTTGTGCAGTCAGCTTTGACAACAGAGTTGAACTCCATGAAATTGACATGCGGAAGTCAGAGGGAGGAGGCACAAATGAGGGGCTCTAGAGTGGGCAGAGCATGAAGAGAGATCGGGAGAAACGGAGTCAGGAGCCCACGGAGCGCCTGAAGAGGCAGCAGAGCTGCAGGCAGCCTGCCGCCCCAGCCCTGATCCTTAACCAGTGCTTGTAGTCGTTTGTCCACATTTTTTTGTGATCAGACACTGGATTGTTTTCTCCAGTGTTCTCAGCTGCTCCAGTCAAGACCATGAAAGACTGGTTAGAAAGTCATTTTGTAAGAAAGGTTTCAAGATAAGGAGAGTTAGATATCCTGAGCAGTTTTCTTGGGTAAGTGTTTTCATGCACTTTATCCCCCTGGTGGTGGCTTTTCTGAGAAAACCAGGATTCTGCATTGCACCGAGGCAAGGCTCCTCCCCTGAGCAGCGCCTGTGTCTGATGCCAGTCGTGACTCTGATTGATGTCTCTAGGCCTGGCCGGGATTCTGTGTCCTCTGTATTTATCAAGAAGGATATGTTCAGTGGTTTATACTGTTAAATTAAGATCATATCATGAGTTCTCCCCTAAGTTGATTTACAGATTTACAGAAGGAGTTTTTTGTTAGAAATTGGCAAGCTTATTTCCAGGTTTATATGGAAATGCAAAAAACTAGTAAGTGCCAAGATAATCGTGGGAGAAATAAAAGCACTGTTGGAGGACTTATTCTGTTCGATATTGTGACTAATTATAAAGCAATGAGAATTACTAGGAACTGAGTAAGTGATACCAGTTGGTACAGACTCAAGGATAAATAAATAGACCAAGGGACCACTAGAAAATCCCCAAGTGGGAGCCAGCATCAGCGTAGCCGGTTAAGCTGCCGCCTGTGACTCTGGGTTCTGTATTGGAGCCCCCTTCATGTCCTGGCTGCTCTGCTTCCTATCCACGTTCCTACTAATGTGCCTGGGAAGGCAGCAGAGGATGACCCAAGTACTTGAACCCGGCACCCATGCAGGAGACCTAGATGGAGTTCCTGGCTCCTGGCTTTGGTCTGGCCCAGCCCCAGCCAGCCGTTGCAGCTATTTGGGGAGTGAATCAATGGATAGAAGATCTTTTTCTCTCTGCCTCTGCCTCTGTCACTCTGCCTTTCAAATAAATAAAATAAATCTTTTTTAAAAAAATGGGGTGGTGGTGGTGGTGGCGGCATCGTGGTGTAATGAGTAGCTGCCGCCTGCAACTCCAGCATCTCATGTGGGCACTTCCGATCCAGCTCCCTGCTAATGCACCTGGGAAAGCAGCAGAATGCCCCAGGTCCTTGGGCCCCTGCATCCCTGTGGCAGACCCTGATGAAGCTCCTGGCTCCTTGCTTCAGCGTGGCCCAGCCCTGGCCGTTGTACCATTTGGGGAGTGAGTTGGCAGATGGAAGATCTCTCTCTCTCTCTCTCTCTCTCTCTCTCTCTCTGTAACTTTGCCTTTCAAATAAATAAAATAAATATTAAAAAAAAGAAAATCCACAAGCTCCCATATATGGTAAGGGTTTCTGATAGGGGTTGCACTGCAAAGCTGAGTAAGCAGGGCCTGTACAATGACTCGGGGCCAGTCATCTTCACCCTCATTGCACACTATGCACACAAGTAAATTCCAGTGAATCCTATATCTCAATGGAGAAGGCAAAACAGTAAAGATTGGAGACGGTAACAGAAAAGGATATCTTCAAGATCCTGAGGTAGGTAAACATTCATAAACAGTCCACAAAGTGTTTCAATTGTAAAGGGAAAGATTGATAAATAGAGCAAGAGTGAAATTATGAATATTTATGAAAAGATACCACTAAACCTGTAAAAAAGTAAGCCACAGAAGGTGAGAAGCTATCTCCAATAAATATAACTGACCAAACACTGTTCAGAATAACACACTCCTGTAATTTAGGAAGGAAAAATACATAATCCAGTTTTTTTAACGAGCAAAAGATATTAACAGGGGTTTAATGAAAGAAAGTATTACAATTGGTCAATAAATATATGCATTGTGGCCAACTTCATTAGTCTTTGGGGAAATGCAAATGGCAGTGAGATATCACTTCTCGTTTGGCAGAACAGCTCAAATTAAGACTATGCATTGATTGGGGCCAGTTCTGTGGCATAATAGGTAAAGCCACCGCCTGCAGTGCCAGCATCCCATATGGGTGCTGGTTCAAGTCCCGGCTGCTCCACTTCTGATCCAGCTCTCTGCTATGGCCTGGAAAAACAGAAGATGGCTCAAATCCTTGGGTCCCTGCACCCATGTCAGAGATCTGGAAGATGCCCCTGGATCCTGGCTTTGGATCGGCACAGCTCCAGCCATTGTAGCCAGTTGGGGAATGTACCAGCAGATGGAAGCGCGCGTGCGCGCTTGCGCTCTCTCCTCTCCTCTCCTCTCCTCTCCTCTCCTCTCCTCTCCTCTCCTCTCCTCTCCTCTCCTCTCCTCTCCTCTCCTCTCCTCTCCTCTCCTCTCTTCTTCTTCTTCTTCTTCTTCTTCTTCTTCTTCCTCTTCTTCTTCTTCCTCTTCCTCTTCCTCTTCCTCTTCCTCTTCCTCTTCCTCTCTCTCTCTCTCTCTCTCTCTGCCTAACTCTGACTTTCAAATAAATAAATAAATAAATACATCTTAAAAAAAATAAAAGACTGCCAGCGCTGCAGCTCACTAGGCTAATCCTCCGCCTTGCGGCACCGGCACACCGGGTTCTAGTCCCAGTTGGGGCGCCGGATTCTGTCCCAGTTGCCCCTCTTCCAGGCCAGCTCTCTGCTGTGGCCCGGGAGTGCAGTGGAGGATGGCCCAAGTGCTTGGGCCCTGCACCCCATGGGAGACCAGGAAAAGCACCTGGCTCCTGCCATCAGATCAGCGCGATGCACCGGCTGCGGCGGCCATTGGAGGGTGAACCAACGGCAAAAGGAAGACCTTTCTCTCTGTCTCTCTCTCTCACTGTCCACTCTGCCTGTCAAAAAAAAAAAAAAAAATGCATTGGAAAAGATGTGGAGCACCTGGAGCATCTGTGTGTTGCTTGATAGAGGTATAAACTAGCACACTTTGGAGAGCTGGTGTGCCTCTGCTGACGCTGACCAGCAGTCTCACACCTGGGCATATGCTGACTGGAGTCTGTGCAGCATAATTTTCATAGTAACATTGTATGTAATGGCCCAAAATGGAAACGCCTTTACATCCATGCAGGATGAGGGAGTAAATAATTGTCCTTTATTCATACAACTTAGAGGAACCTTCCGACCTAATATTGGACAAAACAAACCACACACAGTACCTATCCTGTTCCATCGGTAGGAAGTTCAGAAACAGGGCAGTGTAGCCGGCGGTGGTAGAGGTCAGGGTGGCGGTTACCCCTGGGAAGGGGCAGGGACTAAAGGGAAACAGGAATGTTCCATGTGTTAATGTGGGCAGCCGTTCCACGGTGAGTTCACTCTGATAATTCAACAAACTCTTCTTCCTAGTTTGCACCTTCCAGCATGTATGTTATATTTTCTTTTTTTAAATTTGATAGCCATGTTCCAGTGCTACTTCCCTGAAATTGTGCCCAGATCACTTGTGATTCAAATAGTGACTGTTCCTAAACCGTTGAGTCACACGTTTGTAGGCATTTTCTTAATTTTCTCCCCTATGTGTTACTTTACATGCCCCAGATTTAGATTTCAGTAATTTAAATCTCAAGGAATCTTATTTCCATGCTCATGTGAAGTATTTTAACTTCCATGGGAACAGTAGAATGATTTTGCGTGAGATTAGGATTAAGACATTTGATAAATTGAGTGTATTATAAGTCTTCATTTGGAAAATATACTCAATTATACCATTTATTACTAGAACTTTCTCCAGCTGAAAATAAGTGTTTGAAATGGTAAAATGAAGGACCAAGTTGGTGATGTTTCTTTTCATTTTTTAGTTAAATGCCCTGCAAGACCTTCATCCGCTACCCAAGATAATTCTGGAATATAGACAGGTAAGGTAAATCTTTGGTAAGTAAGTTGGTGATGAAAGGGAGCCACATGGTCCCAGACAACCACATGCGCTGAAGCTGCCCTGACCGTGTCCTGAGGGAGTACAGTTCTCTTCAAGGCAGCCAGTATGAATCCTACATGGAGAAAGATAACTGAACATTCAGAGAAAATGTCAGGCATGTCATTACTGTGCGGCTCCCGCGTGATGCACTCCCACCAGCACCGAGCTCCCGCAAAGCCCGCTTCGTCTGGTTTCTAGGCGCCTCTGGTTTCTAGCATGTTTCATCATCTTGTACATTTACCAGGGCATTCATGCCCTGCCCTCTTTCCTCTTCTAGCTACTCAGGTTTTCTCTGTTTATACACCTGCATTTACTTCAGAAGTTCTCTATGTTTGGGGAGCAGCATTGTGGTATAGTGGGTTAGGTCACCAGCATCCCAAATGGGTGCCAGTTCAAGTTCCGGCTCTACTTCTGATCCAGCTCCCTGCTAATGCACCTGGGAAAGCAATGGAAGATGGCCAAGTACCTGGGCCTCTGCACCCAGGTAGGAGATCCGGGTGAAGCTCCTGACTCCTGCTTTGGCCTGGCCCAGTTCTGGTCATTGCAGTCGTTTGGCGGAGTAAACCAGTAGATGGAAGAGCTGTCTCTCCATCTTTTACTCTGTCTCTCTGTAACTCTGCCTTTCAAATGTGTCTCTTTAAGAAATTTCTTTAAAGAAGACGTTCTCTGTGAACCTCATTTATTGTTGCCACCACCTGTACCCCCAGCACTGCTGGTTACTGAGCTGTGTCTTGCTGTCTGTGAGGGCCTGGCCACTGTGCAGAAATTCGTTTTCCAAATAGTCCTTCCTGAAGCAATGTAAGCATGAGAAGAAAACAAAATGGCCTACTTTGTGGGCCAGAGGCATTTATTGATGTTTGCCATTTTTCTGTAGATCTAAAACTATTCCAGAATAATATTTTAAAAGGGTAGAGAGACTTCACTCTCTGTGGACCAGTGTTATTTATCCTTGTATCTCCGAAAGTCGTTCCGGGGCTTCCTAGAGTTATCCAAGGTGACGCCAGCGGCACATGCCCAGCACTCTGTGAAGGGCTACACTGATGCTTGCACCTGAGAAATACTTAAACATGGAAAATTGTTATTCTTGTCTTTGTAACTTAGGTTCACAAGATCAAGTCAACCTTCGTGGATGGATTACTTGCTTGCATGAGAGAGGTAATTGAAGCTCTAAGAAAAAGATATGATTAAGAATATAGTTCATATATATGTTCAGATACATAGAACTTTGATAATTTATTAAGTTAGGAAATAATCTAATATTCTTAAAACCATGAGCCATGATTTTGTGATTATTCAGATCTTCTGGATTAAGCTGATGTTCTACTTTAAAATCTATTTGTGTTGGAGCTGTGCACCTGTCCTGTGTTCTCATCTGTTATAGCATCTCTTTTTGGAATTATTTGAGATGTTATTGTTTTAGTTTGTACATGAGTAGGCTACAGAGATGTTCTGTGACTTGTGTTGAGGCCACACAGCAAGTGACAGAGCCTGTCTGTGACACACAGTCCCTCCACAGGCTGTTGGCTCCTCCTGTCCCCAGGACTGGATTTGTAAGTGACATTAAGGCCTACTTGGTGCTATCACAGCTTCTGCTTGTGTAAGAGAGAAACTTCCTTCTTGCCCATCCTTGACCACACAGCAGGAGTTTTGTAACCCCAAGGACTTTTTGGGTTGGGCGTGGAAGGCCCAGCGACTCACTGACCTCTGGAGGAGCAGTGAGTGTCAGGTGTTGTAGGTGAGGGGTCGTAGCATTGCCAGAGTCTAAACTGATTCTTTTTAACTGTTCAAGGGCTCCATTTCTTCTACGTGGAATCAAACTGGAACTGTGACAGGAAGACTTTCAGCCAAGCATCCTGTGAGTTAGCATTTTTTGTTAAATGCCAATTTCCGTGCCTCGCAATTGAAATTTTGCCTGCATGTGTTTGCCTGTACGTGTTTCATTTCATTCTACACTGATAAATTGTGTTTTGGTTTGCTTACTCATTTTGCTAGTACTTATTTAGCATCTTCTGTGTTCTGGAAGCAAAGTGGGCGAGTAAGACTCCCCTCTCCCTGTGGCGTCCTGAGCAAGGGATTCTTCCACCTGGAAGCCCACCACGCTAACGCCGAGAGCAGAAGGGACACCGCTTTTCCCATCTTCTCTCAAATTTGTGCTAGAAAAGCGGCTTCTGGTTCCTGGGGCCCGGTGCTGTTCCCATGGCCACCTTCATTTTACGACTGTTGCAAAGTACTCTTCTCTGATGAAAAAGCTATGAATGCCTTTAAATTTAGGATGCAGCTTTTTTTTTTTTTTTTAAGGCAGAGTTAGGACACGCACATGGGCTCTTCCATCCACTGGTTGACGCCCGGAATGGCTGCCATAGCTGGGGCTAAGGCTGGTCCTACACTAGGAGCCTGGAACTCCAACCTGGTCTCCCATGTGGTTGGCAAGGATCTAAGCACTTGGGCCATCTTCCACTGCTTCCCAGGCTCATTAGCAGGGAGCTGGATCAGAAGTAGAACAACCAGGACTCAAACCAGCGCCCATATGGGGTGCTGGGCATCATACACAGGGACTTCCCTCTGCACTACAATGCCAGCCCCATGATACAGCTTTAGTAATACAAGAGTTGGTTTTTAAAATGGCTTTATCTTATTGAAAGAAAGAAGACTTATCTCTGATTTCTCATTACAGAACAGTTACTTAAGCACACAAAATAAATATAAACTAATTAAAATCACTTGCTGGGGCTGGCCAGCATTGTGGCATAGCAGATTAAGCTGCCACCTGCCATATCAGCGTCCCATAAAGGCGTCAGTTTGAATCCCAGTGGATCCACTTCTGATCCAGCTCCCTGCTAATGTGTCTGGGAAAGCAGAGAAAGATGGCCTGAGTGCTTAAATCCCTGCCACCCACATGAGAGACCAGGTGCTTGGGCCCCTTGCACCAGTGTGGGAGACCCAGAAGAAGCTTCTGGCTCCTGGCTTTAGTCTGGTCCAGCCCTGGCCCTGTGGCCACTTGGGAAGTGAACCAGTGGATGGAAGATCTCTCTCTCTCTCTCTCTCTGCCTTTCAAATAATATATACAATAAATCTTTTTAGAAAAAACACTAGCTATTCCACCCCACAGAGCACACTGGTTAGCAGCTTGGTAACTATCTTTACATATTTTTTGCAAAGCACACGTATTCATAAAATAATATCTTTTCAACAAAAATAAAGACATACTATTTTATATTATGCTTTTCTATTTTAGTTAACATCTCGATATCATACATCAATAAATATTGCTATTATACATTAATAAAGAATAATTAAATCTATATTTAAATATATACTGTTATATATGTTTATGGTAAAGAAATTCATGTAATGTAAATTGTTTTAAAATAGTATTCATTTATTTGAGAGGGATACAGAGTGCTCCCATCTATTGGCTCACTTCCCAAATACCTTCAGCAGCCAGGCTGGACTAGGCCAAAACCGGGAGCTAGAAATTGAATGCAGGTTCCCACATGGGTGGCAGAAACCAGTTACTTGAGCCATTACCAGCTCCTCCTGAGTGCCCATGAGCCGGAAGCTGGACTCCAGAGCAGAGTCAGGAACTCGAGCCTAGGCATTCCAGTCGGGGGTGGGGTATCCCAAGCAGCACTTTAGCCGTTAGGCCGGAAGCCCATCTTGTGGGAATTTACAGAATGAGAAAGTGTAAGTTGTCTTTCCCGTGGTTCCCTCTGTTAATAGACCTTCCTCTGGACGTTTACATGTATGGCGTACCTAGTGCACACAGGTAGCAGGGTGACTGTGAGGAGGAGAAAGAGGCTGGCACTGGGCAGACTTGTACTGGGGTGTGACACACAGGTATAAGACACCCCCTCTGGGGCTGTAAGCTCTTGGGTCACCAGCTGTATCTTGGACTTACCCCTTCTAGAAGAGTGGCACTTGGAAGTGGCACTTAAGAGAATTCTTCTGTGGTCTAGATCTGGCTGATTGATAGCAATAGCAATCACAACACTGATAGCAACATGAACGCAAACGCTGCTCTGTAAGCAGTGCGGCTGTCGGCCTGCAGTTCAGTTGGTTTCTCCAGCTACCACATCTGCTGTGCGTTTTCTTTTAGTTGATGCTGCTTCCTATTCAGGAGTTATTTAGGAAGTCTGACAAGTTTTAAGGCCATTTTCATCATCATTATTACTATGTATTAATTGGCGAGGGAAAGACAGAAGGAGAAAGAGCTCCACTAGCTCCACTAGGTCACTCCCCAAATGACTGAGGTCGGGAGGGAGCCAGGAACTCGGTACCCGTCTCCATGTGAGTGACCCAGTCCTTGGGCCATCCTTGGTCTGCATTAGCAGCAGCTGGAGTCAGAGCATGAGGACGCAGGTTTCAACCTGTTGTCCGCATGGTGTGGTTCCAATATTTGTTTAGTTCTCAAAACCTTTGCAGCACTGGTCAGATATCCCCACTTGATGGTCACCCGGTGGTCACTTTAGGAACTGAGATGCATTCTGTTTGCTTGCGTCCCAAAGTCTGTGTGTGCTGTCAGGATGCTACTGCACAGGTGCAGCTGCAGCTGAGCCCGATGATTTATGAACAAGTTTACGATGTTGTTTTGCTGAGCTCCTGTCCCTCCATAATCTCTCCAATTATTTCTGGTTCTTTGCCAATCTCATTTTTTTTTTTTTTTTTGGTCTTTTAGCCAGAAATCTAAGGCTATAGTAATCTGACTCTGTCGCACACTTCCTGCCACTGGCCCCATATCCGGGACCAACCAGGCAGGAGGACTGAAGGGAACAAGTGATAAGCACACAGCCTGTTTGGTGGTCCTCCAAATTCCAGCCTGCTCTTGCTTGCTGCCCTTGCGGAATCCTCAGCTTGCTGTCCTGTGTGTTGTCTAATCTCTTAGAGCTGCATGCAGCAAGAAGGCTTCCTGTATCTCACCAGGAATGGCAAGCTCAGCTTCATTTTTAAGAGATTTACTGAAGTATAAATTGACATATTACAAATTTTATACATCACAAACAAATTTGGTAAATTTTGACAGTATGTGTTTGACCATCAAAACATCACAATCAAGAGAGTGAACATACTCATCCCTCCCAAAAGTAAACTTGTGCTCCTTTGTAATCTCTCCCTCCCTACCCTCAGGCAACCACTGACTTATTTTTGTCACTATAGGTTGACTTACAATCTCTGAAAGTTTATATAAATGGAATTACACAGTGTGAGATCCCTTTTTTGGTTTGGCTTCCTTTGCAGCATTATGATTTCAAAATGCAGCCGTGTTCTGCTTTTCAGCACTTCATTTGTTTTTATTGCTGAGTGGTATCCCTTTAAATCTGTGTACCCCAATTTTTCTTTAAAGTTATCTATTGATTGATATCTGAGTTGTTTCTAGTTTGGAGATACCAGTTTGGGGTATCACTACGTACATGCATGCACAGACTTTATACAGGCATACTTTTTTTTTTCCCTCTCAGGTGAATGCCAAGGAGTGAAATAGCAGGTATATGTTTTACTTTTTAAGAAACTGCCAGGGCCAGCCTGTGGCATAGCAGGTGAAGCCACTGCTCATGATACTGGAGTCCCAAATGGGCACTGGTTCGTGTCCCGGCTGCTCCGCTTCCAATCCAGCTCTCTGCCATGGCTTGGGAAAGCAGCAGAAGACAACCAGGTGCTTGGGCTCCTGACTTCCAGGTGGGAAGTGCTGATGCAGCTCCTGTGTCCTGGGTTTGGCCTGGCCCAGCTCTGCCCGTTGTGGCCATCTGGGGAGTGAACTGGTGGGTAGATGGCCTCTCTATATATATAGCCCTGACTTTCAGATAAATGAATACATTTTTTAAAAGAATAAAAACTGCCAAATTGTTTTCCAAAGTAGTTCTAGCATTTGACATTTTTTAAAAAAGATTTATTTTATTTATTTGAAAGGCAGAGTGACAGAGAGGGAAAGAGAGAAAGAGATCTTTTGTTTGCTGTCTCAGTTCTCAGATGGCCACAAGGCCGGTACTGGTCCAGGCTGAAGCCTGAAATCTTGAACTCCCTTCAGGTCTCCAACGTGGTGCAGGGGCCCAAGTACTTAGGCCATCTTCTGCGGCTTTCCCAGGTGCACTGGCAGGAAGCTGGATCAGAAGCAGAGCAGATAGGACTAGAATTGGTGCCCTGACAAGGGGTGCTGGCATTTAGGCAGCCGCTTAACCCACTGCATCACACTGCTGGCTCCTGACTGACATTCTTGTCAGTAGTGTATGAGAATTCTGCTTCACTTACAACCCCACTAGCACTTGGTATGGGCAGTCTTAATTTTAGCCGTTCTTTTATTTTACTTCTATTCCATTCTATTCCACTCCACTCCACTCCACTCCACTCCACTCTAGATGGAGAGAGATACAGATAGATTGAGAGCTCCCATCCACTGGCTCACTCTTCCAAATGCCTGCAAATTGCCAGGAATAGGCTGGGTCCAAGTCAGGAACCAGAGACTGAGTACTGGACTCCCATATGGGTGGCAGGACCCCAGCCCCAGTTACTTGAGCCATCACCGTTGCCTTCCAGTGTCTTCATTGATAGGAAGTTGGAGTAAAAAACTGGGGCCAGCTCTCAAACCATGATACTGTAATGTGGGATATGGGCATTTTAACCCCTGGGACAACCACCTGTCCTTAATTTTAGTCACTCTAGTAGTGTGTAGTGGAACCTCACTGTGGTTTGAATTGCATTGCTATAATGACTGATGGTGTTGATCATCTTTCCATATGTTTACTTGTCCACTTTTCTTTAGTGGAGCATCTACTCAAAACTTCTGCACATTTTAAAGAGTTTTTTTTTTTTTAATATCATCAAGTTTTGCGCATTCTTTGTATATTCTAGATCCATGTCATT